ACCCCGCAGACAGCCCGCCGGCCCCCGCGTCCATAGTGCACTAAGGATAGGGGACAATGAACAGTAGCCAAGCCGTGAACCCCCCGGGAACACATGCGACCAGGGATTGTGCAAGATGGGGGGAGACTGCGCTTCTAGGCCGTCGCACTCGCTCGGCGCCGTGGAAAAGCCGCGCAGAGACGAGAGGCTCCGCACGCTCGCCTGAATTATTAATTATCAATTATCAATTATTAATTATTAATTATTAATTATTAATTATTAATTATTAATTATTAATTATTAATTATTAAGAGAGGCTCCGCACGCTCGCCCTGAATGATTATCGCTGATTCGAATGCATTGAGCCTCTCGCAGAAACGACGGGCTCCGCACGCTCGCCGCGTCGTTGTACGAGCCCGCGCGCGCGCCGCCGATCGCCTGATTCATCAGCACAGCTCGCGCTGAAGTAGCATAGCTTAATCAGCCCGCGCCGCGCGCGCCGACGATCGCCTACCGCCCATATCTCCCCCCATCTCCCCCCATCTCCCCCCATCTCCCCCCATCTCCGATCGCCTGCTGCACCGCCCATATCTCCCCCCATCTCCCCCCATCTCCGCATCTCTCCGATCGCCTGCTGCACCGCCCATATCTCCCCCTATCTCCCCCCATCTCCCCCCATCTCCCCCTATCTCCGATCGCCTGCGGCACCGCCCATATCTCCCCCCATCTCCCCCTATCTCCCCCTATCTCCGATCGCCTGCTGCACCGCCCATATCTCCCCCCATCTCCCCCTATCTCCGACCGCCTGCTGCACCGCCCTTGCCTCGTTGAGCTGCTGGCCCAGCCGGTGCGCCTTCGACCTCGCCTCGACACACTCGTTGCGCGCCGCCTTGCAGGAGCACGAGAGGGGGGGTGGACGAGGGTGAGGTCGCTAAGACGCTCTCTCGCTACGCGCCGCCTCGAGATCCGCGCGGAGCGCCGCGGCGTCGGACGCAGCTGCGGCGGCGGCGGCCTCCTCCCGTGCGTGTGCGTCTCGCAGCAACAGGAGCTCGCGGCCGAGGAAGCGGAGCGCCTTGAATTCAACAGAGTCGATCCGGGCCGAGGGTACGGGGCGCCATTGGGTAACCTTTGGGTAATTAGTGACCGCGTCGCCGGAGTGAGTCATTACCGCCTTTAATTAATTAGTGACCGCGTCGCCGGAGTGAGTCATTACCGCCTTTAATTAATTAGTGACCGCGTCGCCGGAGTGAGTCATTACCGCCTTTAATTAATTAGTGACCACGTCGCCGGAGTGAGTCATTACCGCCTTTAATTAATTAGTGAACGCGTCGCCGGAGTGAGCCATTACCGCCTTTAATTAATTAGTGACCGCGTCGCCGGAGTGAGTCATTACCGCCTTTAATTAATTAGTGACCGCGTCGCCGGATCAACGAATTGAAGCCGAGGAAGCGGAACGCCTTTCCCCTCGCCTCTACTCGCGTGGTCTCAGTCCACCCACTGCCTAAACTACTTGCGCGCGCGCCTTTTCTCTTGCCGCCGGGTCGTCGTCGCGGCTGCCCTGGCTGTCCGCGAGGGAGGGCGCCGGCGAGGCGACGCTGCCGGCAGGCCTAGGAGCCGGCGCGTACTCACTGACTGGGGAGATGTGGGGAGATAGGGGGAGATATGGCAGGCACAGTAGTCGGCACGTACTCACTGACTGGGGTTAGGGTTAGGGTTAGGGTTAGGGTTAGGGTTAGGGTTAGGGTTAGGGTAGGGTTAGTTAGGCAAACCTAGGAGTCGGCGCGTACTCACTGACTGGGGAGATATGGGGAGATATGGGGAGATATGGGGAGATATGGGGAGATATGGGGGAGATATGGCAGGCCTACGAGTCAGCGCGTACTCCTCATTGACGGGGGGTTTCTTATCAAGACTTGGTTAGCGACGCCGCGGGCGACACCTTCTCCCGGCGGAGAGGAGGCCGAGGGACGACTGGGCCTACACGAAGAACAGAACGATCACAGACAAACAAGAGACATAGGAGGCGGCGGGACGACTGCGCCTCTTCCAGCTCGCAGCGCACTCCGCTCAGCTCCTGCTTCAGCGCCTCTGCCTCCGCGACGGCGGCGCCGCTGGCCTGCGCGGGACAAGAGACCGGGCTGTGCAGGAGCAGGAGGAAGCAGGGACTTGGGAGAAAGAGCAGGGGCGGCAGCGAGGAGAGGGAGGAGGGAGAGAGAGGCGGCCCAGGCAAAGGAGGGTCGCAGCAGCCTGCTCAGCGGCGGCGCGCCGCTCCCTCTCGGCCTCCAGCTGGCCCGTCAGCGCGACGCGCTGCGCGTGCACCGCCGCCGCGTGCTCCCGCGCCCTCCGCTCCTCCGCTCCTCTCGCGTCGAGCGCCGACTGCAGCTCTCCGACGCGGGCGGCCGCGGCGGAGGCGGCGGCCTCGAGCTCGCCACGCGCAGACGACACCGCCGCGAGCGCCTTGGCCGCCTCCTCCGCCAGAGGACGGCACCGGCCGGCCAGCTCCGCCTCGGCTCTCCCGTGTTTCGCCACCGGCTGCGACGCCTGGATCTGGCAGAGCTCGGCGGCGAGGCCGGCCACCGTCGCGGCGGCGAGCGTGCCCGCGTCGGCCGCCTCGATGGCGGCGTCAAAGGCGCGAGAAGCAGGCGGGCGGGGGCCCGTCGGCGCCTCGTGCGCCATCGTAAAGTGCCACTAGCCCGTCGTCAGCCGGCAATCTGCGCCTCCACTGGCGCCCGTAGGCCCGGCGCAAACATAACAAAATAAAAAAATCGATGGTAATACCTATCACTGTTCATCTTTCTGCATACATACATATCACTGTTGGCTTAGTCCTTAGATCGCTCCCCCTAAGAAGAATTCCTTGCTGGTGGGTGGTGGCGGCGTGAGAGTCCATTGGAGGGAGGTTGCACTTTTCGACTCTTCGAGAAAAAGAATTTAAACAAAACAACTCTCTCTCACAGCACACAGGCTCGAGGAAAACTATTTCCCGCGAAGGGCTGCGACAAGCGGCGGGGGCACGCACGCGCAGCACACTCAGGCGAGGGACTTCAGCACACTCCACGCCGTGGGGCTAGCACGTAACAGACAACGGCGACTACATCAAGGCAGCGAAAGCCTTCATCCGCGCCGCCGCCATCGGAGCCACCGCCTCCCACGCGCCCACTGCCGGGTCGTACCGCTCGACCGAGCTGAAATAGTCGAGGCCCCGCCCGCCGTTGTACCCGCCCGCCGCATACAGCTTGCCATCGAGCACCGCCACGGCGAGCCTAGCTCTTACGGCATCCCCCTTCGCTCCTTGCTGCCGCAGGTGGCGCGCCTCGGCGCTGGTCCGCGCCTGCTGCATCGGCAAGCACCCGCACGTGCGGCCCGCCGCGACGCTGAGTGGACCGTCGCTCCGGCAGAGGCACGCACGCACGCACGCACGCACGCACGCACGCACGCACGCTTTTAATGCTGTTGGGCTCCTGTCGTTTAGACGTGGAGACGTGAGGGTCCCCCCCCCCCCCCCCTGCCCCACCACCTCGTGTTGTGTGGAGACGCTTCCCTCACCTTCCCTTCACCTAGACAGGCGCCTGCTCTGTGCGGTGGCGGACAGCCGCGACGAGCCCGAGGCGGCGGCCGCGGCCCACAGCGCGGTGGCGATCTTGCGCGTCGCCTCCGCGCGGCGGCGCCGGCCGGAGGCGCGCGTGATGCCACGGAGCCGACCCGCCGCGGGGGCGTGGGGGGTCGTGGGGTGGTGCGGGTGTGCGACGCCGGGGCGAGCTAGATAGCTACGTCCTAAGTGCGCGGGGCAGACAGAGAACGAGGGTATAACACGTGAAATGGCCCCTTTGTAACACTGTGTACCCTCCAGCCCCCCTTGGGGGCGGCGCATATTGCGCCTGGCACGTGCAGGACACCGCCGGGCACATTCCCGAGTGCAGCGCCGAGCACGCGGAGCAGGGCTCTTTAGTTAAAACTCATTAGTTTTGATTCCCCCTAGGCAAAACTTTCTCCCCCCAGACCCCGGCTAAGGGCTCCGCCCCAGACCCCGTTTACACCCGAGCAAAGCCCCACGACCTGAGCCGGAGCCCCTGCGAGTCAGAGACAGGAGCTCGGATGACGCATCCACATCTTAGAGGTCATGTGCGCATCAAGCCCTACGGGCACTCGCAGGGCACGGCACTCTTTCCCGAGATCACGTCGCGCACTTGTAGCCGGACGGACTTGTAGGGTCCCTGATCGCATTCTTCGTCTCCCCCCCCTCCCTCCTGTAGGCAGGCCGTCCCGCGCTGGCGGGAAGAGGCGCGCCGAGCCATCCGCGACGTCCCGGCGAGCTCATGGGCCCCCAAAAGGTCGCACCCGCCCGTGGCTCCGCCGTCGGCTCCGCCGCGAGCGGCGACGGTGAGGCCGCCGGGGCTCGCCTATACCGGCTAGTGTGGAGCCCTCAGTGTAGTTGCGTGTTGTACTAGTGATGCTGCACTAGGCGGCCCGTTTTTAGCAAAAAGCAGATACCACATCGCGTGTGGTCGTCGAAAAACCGCATCTTTGCCCGTCTGGGACCTCTTCGTACGGCTCCAAAAACCGCTCCTTAACGACGACTACGCGGCCCTGCGGTCGATCTGCGCCTTCTCAGCGGTGGAGGGGATGTGGGCGGTACGTGCGGACCGCGTGGTGCTGCGATGGCTTGACGAGTGCGACTCCCAGCGTCGACTTTTCGACCCCACGGAGCCTCTGCTGCTCCGGGGGGGGGTCTGCAGACCACCCGGCCGAACTTCAGAGTTGCGGTGCTCCTCAAATACCGCTCAAACGCCCACGATGTTGTGGAGGGGACATATGCTGATGATCCTGGCCCGATTGGTTCGCTCAGAAAGCTTCTGGGCGGTCGCTAAGGTTCGCTCCCCGCACACCGGCCCGGAGCCTGGGTACGGCTCTAGAGTACCCTAGACCTTACAACTTAAGTTAGATTTATCCACAAACACAAAGTGGTGGGGCAAGGGGCGTAGGGGCGACCCTCGCATCTCCACGCCCGGGGACACGGGCAGGAGCCCCACGGCACTTGTTTGGTATGTGCAGGATGGCCCAGCCTGCTTCTTCTTCGACAAACCGTCTCTACAGCTACACTCATTGGAGCCTTGTTACATGGACATGGCACCCCAGCGCACCCCCGGCACCCCCATCCCCGCCGCCCCGTCGCGCGGCCTCTTCGCTCTCAGCCCTTCTCACATCTCAGCACACGACAAAGCCCTGCGGCTCGCCAAAGCGGCCGCCGTCCGACATGCTGTGCCGCGCCCCCTGCAGCGGCGAGGGGCAACAGTCTGATTCTTGTCAACTAGCTAGCGCCTAAGTAATTACCTCCGCGGCGAGGGAGCGTCTCCTCATTAATCACCGACGACTGAGCACGGATTCACTAGGATTTTCTTGCCACCTGCAGCGGCGAGGGGCAGGTCTCTGCGAGCAGCGACTGCAGCGCCTCGTTCGCCTCCACCTCGAGCTCGTCCTAATTCAAACGAAGGGGGCACGAATTACCTCTTAATTACGAGGCACTCCAACCTCCACCACGAGCTCGACCTCGACGGACTCGCCTGAGGCACGGCACGGCAGTCACGGCCGTAGGTGTGAAGAGACGCTGTTCACACCTCTCGTCCTCACGGACTCGCCCAAGGGAAGGGAGGGGAAGGTAAACACCTCCACACACACGAGGTGGCGGGGCAAGGGCCAGGCTAGTCCCTCGCGTCTCCACGTCTAGAGAAGAAAGAGCCCCTCGGCACGAAAAGTGCGAGGCCCAGTGCGTGTGTGTGTGCGTGCGTGTGTGCGTGCGTGCGTGCGTGTGCGTGTGCGTGTGCTTGTGCGTGTGCGTGTGCGTGTGCATGTGCGTGTGCGGGTGCGTGCGCGTGCTCGCCTTCGCCGGCGGGGAGTCTGTCGGCCGCGTCGGGGGTCGCAAGGTGGCGCGGCGTCGCGAGGTCTCGAGGCGTCTCGCCGCCGCCGCGAGGCACATCGAAGCCGACGTCGGCGAGGCGGACCTACCGAGTGGGGAGGTGTGGGGAGGTGTGGGGAGGTGTGGGGAGGTGTTGGGAGGTGTGGGGAGGTGTGGGGAGGTGTGGGGGGGTGTGAGGAGGTGTGGGGAGGTGTGGGGAGGTGTGGGGGAGGTGTTGGGAGGTGTGGGGAGGTGTGGCGAGGTCTGCGGGAGGTGTGGGGAGGTGTGGGGAGCTGTCGGCAGATGTGGGGCGGATGTGGGGGAGGTGTGGGGAGGTGTGGGGGAGGTGTGGGGAGGTGTGGGGAGGTGTGGGGGGATGTGGGGAGGCGGACCTGACTCGGCGATATCTCGGCCATATCTCGGCCATATCTCGGCCATATCTCGGCGATATCTCGGCGATATCTCGGCGATATCTCGGCTACATCTCGGCTACATCTCGGCCATATCTTGACTACCTCTCGGCTGCATCGCGACTACCTCTCGGCGATATCTCGGCTGCCTCTCGGCTGTATCTCGGCCATATCTCGGCGATATCTCGGCCGTATCTCGGCGATATCTCGGCCGTATCTCGGCGATATCTCGGCTGTCTCTCGGCTGTATCTCGGCCATATCTCGGCGATATCTCGGCCGTATCTCGGCGATATCTCGGCGGGGCGGACCGACTCGACTGTGCGCGCCGCCTTGCTCCTACGCGCGTAACACGCCGAGATACAGCCGAGAGACAGCCGAGAGACAGCCGAGATACAGCCGAGAGACAGCCGAGAGACAGCCGAGAGACAGCCGAGAGACAGCCGAGATACAGCCGAGAGACAGCCGAGAGACAGCCGAGAGACAGCCGAGAGACAGCCGAGAGACAGCCGAGAGACAGCCGAGAGACAGCCGAGATACAGCCGAGAGACAGCCTTGCTCCTACGCGCGTATACACGCCGCCCTCTGGGGCAGGACGGGGTCGTGTGCAGAGCCGTCAGAGCACCGCGCGAAGACGAGGGGGGGGAAGGGGAAGGGGGGGGGAGGGGGGGGGGGGGGGAGGGGGGGGGGCATATACAGTCAGGGCCTCGGAATACACCGGGGTGCAGCGGGGCCCACCGGGGCGCAACGGGGCGCAACGGGGTGCACCGGGGTGCAACGGGGCCCATCGGGGTGCAACGGGGTGCAACGGGGTGCAACGGGGTGCACCGGGGTGCACCGGGGTGCAACCGGGTGCAACGGGGCGCACCGGGAAACCAGCGGAGTCCGTGTCCTCTCGTGCGCCGGTAGGAGCCGCCCTACTCCCCCTTCTACTCCCGCTTCTACGGCCCCCGCTCCTCGCTGACGCGTCGACCACGGCGGGCGCCTAAAAAAGAAAGACGGGGCGCGGCGCCGAGCTCCGCGATGTGCTCGCCGCCCGCCTCGGAGGGTGCTAGCCCCGCGCGCCTCCCCGCCGCCCGCATGCGCCAGCCGGAGGGCTGCCGCCTGCAGTGAGCCGTTCATTCACAGGGGATGACTCACCGGGCGAGGTGTGAACACACGCGGCGCGAGGTGTGAAGACACGCCCACCACCACCGCGGCGTGCGATGGTGGTGGTGGTGCCGTCGCTTCGCAGCATCGCACGCGCACGAAAGCAAAGCGGCGGGAAACGGCGGGAGGGGGCGGAGTGCGTGTCCTCTCGAGCGCTGAAGTGGAGCACAACGACACTGCGTCTTCCGCTTCTAAGTGTTCCGCCGCCGTCTGTCTCGGCGACGCCAGCGGCGGCGACGGCGAGCTGACGGCGGAGCTGCTGTCCCCGCCGTCGGTCAAGGCGAGGAGGGCGCTGCCCGGCGCGACCTGCCGAGGTGCGGCCGAGGTGCGGCCGAGGTGCAGCCAAGGTGCAGCCGAGGTGCGGCCGAGGTGCAGCCCAAGTGCAGCCGAGGTTTAGCCGAAGTTTAGCCGAAGTTTAGCCGAGGTTTAGCCGAGGTGCAGCCCAAGTGCGTCCGAGATTCGTCCGAGATTCGTCCGAGATTCGTCCGAGATTCGTCCGAGATTCGTCCGAGATTCGTCCGAGATTCGTCCCAGATTCGTCCGAGATTCGTCCGAGATCTGCCGACCTGCCGCGGCTGCTGCCCATTTATGAATGAACTAGTCATGCATTCATTCCTCAGTCTCGACCTGCCGCAGCTGCTCCCCCGGCGCCATCAAGCCTTGCAGCCGCATCCGAAAGTCGACGATTCTCTGCAGCTCCTGTTCACAGACGCGCGCTGTGAAGAGACGCCGTCCACAGGGCGCAGCGGCGGGAGGCCTCGCTGCGGCGCCTGCTCACAGACGCGCGCTGTGAAGAGACGCCGTTCACAGGGCGCAGCGGCGGGAGGCCTCGCTGCGGCGCCTGCTCACAGACGTGCGCTGTGAAGAGACGCCGTTCACAGGGCGCAGCCAGCAGCTGACGGTCTGCAGCTCCTCCGCCGCTCGCCTCCGCGTCTTTGGGAGCCTCAGCGCCTGCGCCCAGATTCCGCGAGATTCCAGAAGATTCCCCGAGGTGCCCCGAGGTGCCCCGAGGTGCCCCGAGGTGCCCCGAGGTTCCGCGAGCTTTTCCGAGATCGGGGGCGCGACTGCCTGTGCGATCGGAATCAGCCGCTTGCCGAACCACGCGTCGGTAAGGCCGGACCAAACCTGGCCTCCCTCCACCTCCATGTACCTAGAAAACAGAAGCACCGGTGCCCAGACGACACGCCCGGACCAAAGGTTGCCTCGCGGCTCCTCCATGCACCTAGAAAAAAAGAGAAACACGCCGGTTCAGAAGAACGACATCACCCCGGTCTCCCTCAAGCCTCCACGTACCCCGACGCCGCCTCCGCCACCACACGTTCGTAGAGCCGCGTGTGGCCTGTTCACAGCTCTGGCGGTGCGTGAAGAGGCGCCGTCTCACACCTCCTCAGAGCCGCCTTTGGCAGTGAGTGTCCCTCGACGACGCGATCTCGGGTGATCTCGTGTAATCTCGTGTAATCTCGGGCAGTGAGTGTCCCTCGACGACGCGATCTCGGCTAATCTCGGCTAATCTGAGTGTCCCTCGACGACGCGATCGTACACCTCGCGCTGCGCCTCCGACCACAGCTGCATCGCGACCTTGTCTCTCTCCGCCCGCGCCTGCTCACAGCTCTGAAGCTGTGAAGAGACGCCGTTTCACAGCTGCATCGCGACCTTGTCTCTCTCCGCCCGCGCCTGCTCACAGCTCTGCAGCTGTGAAGAGACGCCGTTTCACAGCTGCATCGCGACCTTGTCTCTCTCCGCCCGCGCCTGCTCACAGCTCTGCAGCTGTGAAGAGACGCCGTTTCACAGCTGCATCGCGACCTTGTCTCTCTCCGCCCGCGCCTCCCGCTCCCGCGCCGCGGCTCGCTCCTCCGCCTCGATCCGCATCCGCCTGCTCGCAGCACCGGTGTATGAAGGCACGCCCGGCCGTAGGCACGCCCGCGCCGCATCCCGCGCCGGGTCTGCTCCGCCGCCATCCGCTCCTCGTGGAGCACTCGCCGCGCCTCGGGCTGGTCCCTGAGCTCGAGCAGGCGCAGCTCGTGCGCCCGCGTCGCCTCCACCGCCGCCTGCTCCGTCGTCGCCGCCTCGAGCTGCAGCCGGAGCAGCGTCGCCTCGGCGGCGACCGAGGCGTTCTGCAGCCAGGCGGCCTCCTGCTGGAGGCGGCCGTACGCACCGCACGTGGCGGCGCCGTACACGGCATCAGCCACGCGTGCGGCCCACGCGCTCGCCCTCTTCTTGAGGTGCGACGGCGTGGCGCTTCGCGGAGTCATCGAGCTGTCCGCTTCTGTTGTGCAAAAAGAGAATTTACTACCCCGGTTCTCGAGGTGGAAATTCTCTCTCGAGGTGGATATCCTTTGGCCGAGAGAATTTACGGGCCTCCGCGCAAACTGGCGCGCACTGGCACTAACACAGGAAAATTCAGGCCCGCCTGGCCTGGGACGACACTGGAATACCCATCCCTCCCTGGGGCTGTGTTTTCTTTCTTTCTTTTTTGGCACAACACTGGGTCTTTTTTGGAATACGCAGACGTCCTCCCATCCCTCCCTTGGCGGTCCGGTTTCTTTCTTTCTTTTGGAATACGCAGGAAAAAGGCGTTGCGTGGAACAAAACGAAGGCGCCCATTTCTAAAATAAACGTTATTAAATGAACTCGGGGGCATCTCCCGACCCGCCATCGTTGCCTAAGGGAGGATCCTATCGGCCACTAGACCATGACAGATCAGAGGCGTACATGCCCTGTCCCAGCTCCCCCACTCCTCACACTGGGTTTGCAGTGCGCGACCTCGCCACCTCGCTACCAGGGCAAACCCCCTCTCTCCCCCTAGGTGCTGCACTGGACGTCCATAGAAGGCGCGCGGCAGAGGCGGGAGGGAGGCGGGGAGAATCTAGCTCGCTCTGGCAGGGAGGCAAGGGTGTGACAGAGTGTTTGGGCGAGAACAGGCGGAGCGTGTGTGCCTGGGCGCGATTGGGAGGGCACTTGTGACGAGGCATGGTTAGGCGAGTGGCAGTCGCTGGTGCGGACTTGCTGAGTCGTGTGTGCTCCTTTTTGCTTGCTAAGACTGGAACAATTTTTTGGTCGGCGACGCGTCGTCGGTGGCGGGCACGCGAAAGATGTGTGGGTTGTGGCAGTGACACGGGGACCGGCCCCCTACGTACACATGCGTCCCGCCTCGGACCTGCCGTCGCTCTCTCAGAGGCTCGAACGTCAGAACTCGCTCCCAGCCGCCGACCCAAGCTCGCTGACAGACGACCCGGCCGTGGATCCCGGACCTAAAGTAGAGAACAGAAGCGCGACTCAAGAAGAACGAAACTATAGCGCACCGCCACCCGGACCGCGGCATCCCGGAGACCTAAAAGAGGAACCGCCTCGTACAACAGAAAAGCGTGCGCCGCCTCCCGTGCGGCCGTGGCATCCGGGACCTAAAGCTCGAAAGAAGCGCGTCAAGAAAGAAACGGCCGGCGAGCCGCCCGGGCGGTGGCATTCCTGACCGGCGGCTGGCGCACGGCTCGCGCCACGCGGGCGGACGGCCGGGTTGGCGGGCCTAATTGATTGATAAGGAAGCCAATGAACTAGTACATTAGGCGCTGGCGGAGTGTCTCTCTTGTGTGTGTGTGTGTGTGTGTGTGTGTGTGTGTGTGTGTGTGTGTGTGTGTGTGTGTGTGTGTGTGTGTGTGTGTGTGTGTGTGTGTGTGTGTGTGTGTGTGTGTGTGTGTGTGTGTGTGCCTCGGCCGCGACGCCGCCAGCACGGCCGAGAGCGCCTCCTGCGCCGGCGTCGTGGTCGACCGCGACGACGAGGAGAGTGCGGCGGGGCACGCCCTCGCCGTCTGACTGGCGAGGAGGTCGGAAAAGGCTTCGGAGACCTCCGAAGCGCAGTCGTCGTCGTCGCGATTCTCGGGAAACGCCTTAGCGCGGTGGTGCAGCCAGCCCGGGGCCGCGGCGGCGCCTCCGCGCGTCTTGAGGTTGGGGGACGGGAGAATGTCTGTGCCGGGCGGCGGCGGCGTGGAGAGCTCCTCGCACTTGCGCAGCAGCGCCCGCCTCGTGTCGCGCAAGCGCGCGTCGTCGCCCACCCGGATGCCGTCGAGGGCGATGCAGAGCTGCGTGCACCGCTCGCTGCAGCGCGCCTAGTCATCGCCTTAATGAACACTCACCACTTGGTGGATGCAGAGCTGCGTGCAAGCGCTCGCTGCAGCGCGCGCGCTGCTCGGCCGCCGCCGCGCCGCCGCCCGCCGCCGCCAGCCCGGCTTCGATTCGCGCGAGCTCCTCACCCACTCGCTCCATCGCCTACGCGGCGCCGTGTACCATACCTCCACAGATCTCGAACCCAGCTCGGAGCCGAACGCGTGTACCATTACCTCGATTCGTGAGAGCTCCTCCCCCACGAAGCCAGACCTCGGCGCCGTGTACCAGGCCTCCACAGAGTTCGGCTCCGTGGGGGGGTGCGGTGCCGAAGCACCGCCCTCGCCCGCCGCGCCGCCGCCGCGTCCCGGCAAGCTGCAGCCGGCCGTGGCGATCGCCTTGGACACACGTTGCCACCCGGTCGCTTGCGCCGAAGCCGCGGCGGGGGGGCGGTCGAGGGCCTGCGGGTGGTGAGGTGAGGTGAGGGAAGGTACACTTCCCCCCCCACACGAGGTGGTGGAGGGCAAGTGGGCCAGGCTAGTCCCTCGCGACTGCACGCCACGCCCGCGGCCGCACGGGCAGGAGAGGTGTGTGTGGCGCGGCATTCGAGCGGGCGGTCGAGTGCACGCGTATACGCCACACGGCCTCACAGTGCGGGGGGGCACGGCCTCGGCGCGGTGGCTGTTCTCTCTGTGCCCCGAGTGCGAGTGCGAGGAGTACGAGCAACAATTCACGAGGTACGAGGAGTACGGCACAGTTGACTATATATACGGCAGTGAAGGGTGTGTCCTCTCGAGCGGTTCTTCACACCACGGCAGTGAGGGTTGTGGGCAGGGCAGGGCAGCGTCTACATACGGCTGTGAAGGGTGTGTCCTCTCGAGCGCCCCCGCTGGCATGCAAGAAACGAGTGTCTTGACCTGCGTGTGAGGGTCTGCGAGTCTGCGTGTGTCGCAGGCGTGTGTGACCCGTCACCGCCCGTCCCTTGGTTCACCCCCACACCGCGCGGGACGCGATTGCAGGAGGTCGTGAGTGTGGGCCCGGCCACCGCGGGGCGAGGGAGGTGGTGGGCCAGATGCCGGATTCGCTCTCTTGCGATACCTTAAAGGCACATCCCACATCTACGTCGCGCCACCGAGGTGTTTCTATCTGCCCCTCCACCGGACGATCTTCATCTCCGTCTATATGCCTGTGCGTTCCGCTTCTATAGGGCTGAGGGCCATCTACACCAATGCATGTGCATTCGGCTTCTATAGGGCTGAGGGCCATCTACACCAATGCATGTGCGTTCCGCTTCTATAGGGCTGAGGGATATCTAATACCAATGCATGTGCGTCCCGCTTCTACAGGGCTGAGGGATATCTAATACCAATGCATGTGCATTCCGCTTCTATAGGGCTGAGGGATATCTAACACCAATGCATGTGCATTCCGCTTCTATAGGGCTGAGGGATATCTAATACCAATGCATGTGCATTCCGCTTCTATAGGGCTGAGGACGTCGAGCCGCGCCGAGAGCGCCTTGTTCGTCGCGTCGAGCGACTTGATGGTGGCGGTGTACGCCAGAGTGAGGCACTCCTGGTGAATTGATTCCTCCGAATTGGCTCCGTGAACTAATCAGGGTGAGGCACTCTAGGCGGCCATTCGTGGATTGGTTGCTAATGAGTGAGCAACGCATTAATCACTCATGGGTGGTAGAGGCCCGGGGGGGGGGGGGGGGAGCAGATGGCTCTCCTCCATCTCCGCCACGCATTGACTGGTACGACCACACTAGTTGGCCATTAATTATGAGGCACTCCAACCTCCATCTCCGCTCGCTCTTGCCGCTCCGCCCGCAGCCTAAAAGACACGGGGCGCGCGTCTGTGTCTGTGTCTGTGTCTGTGTCTGTGTCTGTGTCTGTGTCCCGCACGCCTCCGCCGCAACGACTCGACCATCGCCACGAGCTCCTTCTGGGACAGCTGGCCGCCCGCCGCCGCCGCCGCCTCCGCCTCCTCCTCCTCCTCCTGTTCCGCCTCCGCCTCCTCCTCCTGCGCCGCCGCCATCGCCGCCGCCACCGCCGCCCTCTCCCGCACCTCCGGCTCCCCGGGAGCGCGCGCCGCGGCGCGCCGCTCGTACGGGAAAAACGACTTTGGCTCCATCTCGTCGTCGTCGTCTACGGACGGAGGATGGCGTGGTATTGTTTGATGACGGACTTGGAGGGCGGGGGGTGGGGAGGGGGAGGGGGGGGGGGGGGGGATGTGGGGAGATATGGGGAGAGATTCCGCTTCTAGGGGGGGGAACACCCTGGTCGATCGCGCGCTTGGCGTCGAGCTCCGCGGCGAGGCGCGCGCCTAAAAAAAGAAAAAACCCCCCGCCCCAAAAGGAGTCCCGACTGCCCTTTCCTTAAAACCCCCCGGGGAAGTTGCCCGCCTCCAAAAAAAAAACCCCCCCCC